TGATTATCTGTTGGAGTGATTTTCCCAATATTATCCTTTCCTTCGTATGTTATCCAAGTAAGCAGGGTACTGCGCTTCTCTGTTTGTTAGTTGGCAGCACTTATACACTCACCACCTGTCTCCTTTCCCATTGTCAGCCTCCCATACGTCCTGGCTGTCCTTGGCAAGTGGAGCCTATTCTTAGGTCCCTGGAATCAGAATGAGAATGCTGTCACTTTAAATATCCAAAATGGCCACCACTTATAAACATTCAAAATGACTGCACCCTTGGTCACTTTAAATATCCAAAATGGCCACTGCTTGTAAGCAATGAAAATGTCTGTGCCCTCCAGACAGCCTAAAATTCACAGCTCAGGGTGTCTTCCCGCTTGCTGTTTCCCTTCCTAGTTATCAACCACCAGCACAGTCATCCCTGCAGCAATTCATGATCAGGTCTAATCTTTAGGTCAATTCTCAGGTCCCAATACTACTTGGAAATATTCAGGCTGTTGGTCCTGTCAGAGTAGCTGACAGTTCTCAGCTCTGTTTCTGCACTCACTGTTTTCATTCAGGTTTTTCCACTAGTTGGTGCCTAATCCACTTCTATATGCTTCCTTTCAAAGCTCAGGGCTCCAGGATTATCTTCTATATCTCTGTCAATTGTTTTCTCTTTTCTTATTTGAAGAGGGTCTGTGTAGCTTGTCTGCCTTCCTCCATCTTACTGGAAGTCAATCTCTATTTGCTATTTTTGTATGGTTTCTAATTTTTCATTTATTTTGTCAATTTGTTCTTGTATTGTTTTCCTAAATTCTTCTAGCGTTTTATCTGTATTTTCCTTGATCTATCTCTCAATCCTTTGAGCGTACCTAAATATAATTCTTTTGAATTCCTTATCAGGTAGTTTCAATGCCACTTCTTCCTCAAGGAGGTTTTCTGACTGTCTTTTCTGGTCCCTTATTTATACTACTTTATCTTGCTTTATTGTGTGAACTGGGATTGGCAGTTGTCTTTGAGACATTGTGATGTCATTTTATTTGTATTTAGTTGATGATGGTATGTTGGTGTGATTCACCCAGGTTTATTTATTTATGCTTTATTTTGTTTCAATATATCCAAGCAAGCAGGGCTGGTGTGCTACTGGATTCACTAATTTCACAGCACTTAGGCACTTACCACCTGTCTTTTGGTGTATGTGACAGAGGATCAGAATGTGTCCACTGATCTCTGTTCACTGTTTATATACAGCAGTTGAGAGTAGGTTGGGCTGGTATTGGCCACCATCTATCATTAATAAGTTGGTGCAGAAGCAGGTGGTGGCCCTCACCCAGTGGGTAGAGCTGCAAGAGCACAGATGTGATTGGTTTGTGTGGCCACAGTTGCTGTCTCCTACCAGGTGGGACCAAAAAACAATAAAAACGAAAACAAGAGAACAAAAAACAGAAATAGCATAAATAATTGACAACTACCACAAAAAGAAAAAAAAAAAAGAAAATGAAAAGGAGGGAAAAAAAAGAGAAGGCTAAATAGAAAAAGAAAAAAAAATACAGGGGGTGGGGAGCAAGAGAAAAAGAATCAAAAAGAAAAAGTAAGAAAATTCCAAAAAGAAAAAGAAGCTATTAAAAAACAAAAAGATGAAAAAAGGGAACAAGAAAGGCGGGGGGGTGGGGAGATCCAGGAAAGGGAAAGAAAAAGAACTAGAGAAAGGGGGAAAAACAAAAAGAGAGAGAGAAAAAACTGGGGGGCAGGACACCCAGGCTGTGTTCCTTCTGGCTGAGCAGGCAGTTGGGGAACAGGGCACCTGGTTATAGAAGGAGTTACTACTAGCCCAAACTTCAGTGGGGGGCAGAGTGCCTGATCCCAGGAGTTCCTGCTGTCTGAAAATGTGGCTGGGTGTTCTGGTTACCTACTGCCGCTCTAACAAGAAATAGACCACCAATGGGATGGCCTTAACAAACAGGAGTTTATTCTTACAATTTGGAGGTTTTAAGATCAGGTTCAAAGTGCCAGGCTCTAGGGCCTTGGGCTTCAGCTCTGCCTCCTGCTCCCAGCCCACTGAAGCTAAAGGCTGCTGGCTGCTGAGGCTCCCAAGCCCAAGGTTGACAAGTAAAAAGGCACAGTGCCGATGTTACCAAACCACACAGCAGGCCATTAACTCAAGTCTATTGTAAGTCTCAAGGTCAGCACAGCATGGCAGGCTTCTGAATAATGACACAGCTTACATGCAGGGTCCAAGTGTGCCATAAGCTAGAGATCACACCCAAAGCTGCTGCTTATGTACGGGAAGCAGAGCACATACCCAAAGGCAGCTACTCAGCTGCTCACAGTAGAGTCCACCACGGAGTTGATTACCAGTCTCATCATGGGGAATACTACATCCAGCTGCCCAGCCACTCAACCAGGCCTAGCCAAGTTGATACAAAAACATAACAACCACACTGGGTATAGGGTGCTTGGTCCCAGAAGAAGTTCCTGCAGGCCCCAAATCAGCTGGAGGCAGGGCACCAGGTACAAGAACCAGTTCCTGGCCACTGGGGGCAGGTCACCTGATCCCAGATGAGTTCCTGCTTGGCCAGAAGCACATCAAGCCTCTTCCTTTGTACCCTAAAGGAATATGGGATTCCCTTCCCTACTTTTCTTAGAGATCCTTGGGTGGCACGAAGAGTTAAAGGCTAGACTACTAGCCTGTTGTTGTTGTTGTTGTTGTTGTTATGTGCTGTCGAGTCATGACTATGAGACGGGTCCGACTCAACAGCAACCCCTCCTTGGGTTGCCGAGGCAGTATCTCTACGGGCCCAACCTTCCTTCCGAGGAGTGGCTGGTGAGTTTGAACCACTAGCCTTCTGGTTAGCAGTCAAGTGCCTTAGGCACTATGCTACTAGAGCTCCCAGACTACTAGCCTAGAGGTTGGCTATTCAAACCCACCCAAAGGCACCTTGGAAGAAAGGCTTGGTGATCTACTTCCCAAAAGTCACAGCCAGTGAAAACTCTATAGAGCAGTTCTTCTCTGTACACAAAGGGTTGCCATGAGTCAGAATCCACTCTATGGCAACTACATTCCCTCATTGTGCAGCCCTGTAAGTAGTCTGGAACGTATCTGGCCACAGGCCTGATCTCAAGAGGAACTGCAGCTAGACTCTGATGACAGGATTATAATGAAAGAGGTAAGAATGTCTGAGGATATCAAGTGATACCCTGAAAATATCAAAGGGGGAAAATATCTCATCAATATGTTAGCCCCACCTCAGTAACCTGACCTGCTCCTAACACCACTGGGCTTTGAAATCAAGTTGGGAAAGACCGGGCAATCTGTCAGTTACCTCACCACACCTGTGCTAGAATAAGGGTGGTTGGGGGGGAACAGAGTGTAAAGGGCTGGGCATGAGTATTTTATTTTGCAACAATAACCAGGTAAACTGGCTATGCCTCTCTCCCTGCCCTGAGTTGAGAACCCATGACCTGGCACAAGCTAGAACATGATAAAGTATATTATTACTATAGTTTGAGCTAAAATTTCATTCAATCTAAAAAAAGAATCAACTCATTTCACAAATGAGGAAACAGAACCCTGGGCTAGTTAAATGATTTACCCAAAGTCATATATCTGGTTGATGAAAATGCTGGAAAACTAATGTCTGTTTCCTGAATCTTAAGTCTGAGTGCTCTTTCTGCTTCCCCTGTTGTCCCTGGTTTACTCTGATATCACGACTAAGTGTGCCTATCTTTTGGCTGGTCCCTTAACTTCCCAGGGCCTCCATTTCCTCATCTGCAAAATGAGAAGCTTAGATTAGACAGTCTCTGAGAACCAAGGCAAAGTGAATTTCAGAGTCTCAGAATTGTGGCAAGTGACATAGAATAGATCAATTAAAACAAAAACCAAAACAAACCAATTCACTACCATCAAGAGGGACCTGACCCATAGCGACCCCTCCTTGGGTTTCCAAGGTAGTCTCACTACGGAAGTAGATTGCCCAATCTTCCTTCCGAGGAGTAAAACAACAACAACAACAACAAAAATACCATACCATAAACCCAAGTTCAAACCGTGGTTCTTCTTGACATCAGGGTAGATTAAGAATCTCCTATCAGACACTCAGTCTTCCACCTCCACCTTCCTTTCTCTTCCAAACTCTCAGGGGTTCTGGGTGCACCCCTCAGACTAAAATGCCTGGGAACAACGTTAAGAGCCAGCTGGCATTAGAAGAGGTTGCAGCCAGAGAAGGTCTGCATAACAACAGTGCAGGGTGAATTCTCACAAGTGACCTGCTCTTAGTCTTGGAAATACCTTTCACCCTTAGGATTCCTGCCCCTAGGATGTCACTGGCAAGCAGCCCCCACCTCAAGTGCCACTCCATGGGCCCCTTTGCTTACTATAGCCCTTCTGGTACCCATTTTGTGACTATTTTGCTGTCATTCAAGTGAAACAGGTCTGATCCTCCACTCCTTGCTCAAGAAACCTGTCTCTTCCACTACGATATCACCCAGTCCCACTACATCACCTTTCTTCTTAAGCAGGCATCAAAAGGGAGGCAAGAAGAAACTGTCCTCCTCAAGTTAGCTGTCCCACTAGGACAAATGAATTCCATATACCACTGTTTGGGAGCCTACAGCTTTCCACTTGCCAAGCTTTCAAATAAAAACTTGTTCCACACTTGGAGTTCATATTCCTTTTATTTAGACCATCACATCTACTTGGGACTCCTCACAACAGCCTTGTGAGGTAGGGCACATCCACATTTCCCTGAGGGGAGAAGAGGGAGAATCAGACTCAGGGAGGTCTGCCTTTTGGCCAAGGTCTCACAAGGCAGAGCAGAGCAGGGGCTTGTGAGTTGCCCTGACGGCACAGAATCCAGGCCCAAGAGAGCAGAGTCTTTCTCGCTTGTGGAGTTAATTTCCCATCCACCAACCCAGACTTTCCCCTTGATAGTCCCACCACAAAAGCACGGGCCCTCAGAATGCAGTAAGCGGGCAATCTAGAGCAATCTACGTCAGGGCTCCAGACGTAGGGGGGTGCCAGGCAGCGCTCACTTTTTAGTGAGCATGCGCTCGAACTCCTGGTAGTTCACCTGCCCGTCCTGGTCCAGGTCGGCCTCTCGGATCATCGCGTCCACCTCCTCATCCGAAAGCTGCGCACCCAGTTTGATCATGGCCTGCTTGAGTTCAGCCAAAGTGATGTGGCCGTCGTCGTTTTCATCGAACTGGCGGAAGACCGCCTGCATTTCTTCCTTGCTGCCCCAGACCTTCGTCTTCTTGGCCACCATTTCCAGGAACTCTTGAAAGTTGATGACACTGTCGTGGTCTGTGTCGATCATGGCGATGAGGGCCTTCAACTCTTCTTCGGAGAGATTGTGGCCCAGAGCCTGCATCACCTTGCCCAGCTCCTGGCTGTTGATGGTGCCGTCCCCATTCGTGTCACACGCGGCAAAGGCCTGCTTGCATTGTTCCACCTGCTCTTTCGTCAGATGCTCGGCCATGTCTGTGTCCCTCCTAACCTGGTACGGAGCTTCCAAATTTGCTGCTTATCAGCTTTACTTCTTGCTGCTCAAAGTGCTTGAGTCCAGAGCTTGGGACCTCAGGCTGGGATTTGAGGCAGCGTCTGCTTGAGGGAGAAGCTCCAGAGGAAACCTTGGCATGGTTTGGGAACCCCCTCCTTTTCTGCAATTGGTGCAAAGGGAGGAGAAAGACACCCCACCCTCCCATGACCCCAGGCAAAATCCTCCTCCCAGGAGTGACAAACCAGCATCAGACAAGAAATTCAGGAATTGGTGTTGCAGGGCCCGCCCAAGGAGAGAGGGGAACCAAGGTAAGGGGAGATATGAGGCCTGCTAGCTTCTTCTGGCCCTGACTGCAGACCGGCCACACCAGAAACATCTTGCCCATGAATCAGTTTTCCCTATAGCTGATTCTTACAGAGACCTTGGCCAAGCTGGCACATTAGCATCTATATCTGGTGTTTCCAGTTCTCCCTGCTGCATTCTCAGGAAACTGCTGCCAGGCTCTTGCCCTGAAGGGTGGGGCTGGTGGAAGGCAGATAGGTGGTAGAATTGAGCCTCTCAGGGTGGAACAATGGGCTTCATCAAATCCCCAGTCCAAGGTGGTGGACAAGTCTATAAATAGAGGATATGGCTGGCAGCCTTTAGCTTCCATAAAGCAAGGAACCAGGGTTACATTCCAGTTGTGACTCCTCAGAACCTGGGGCATAGCTGGTATTGAGAAACTATTAAATTAATATTTGAAGTGATTTCAGAGGCAAGGAAAGCCTTTTTGTCTCCCAGAATACTTCCCCTCTAGTTTAATGATTTCTAAAATTCCATTCCATTGTTTAATCCCAGGTGCTATATGCAGACAACTAGAGAGATGTGTGATATTTGTTTAATTTACAGAGGAGTAAAGCAAATAAGGTTGGATTCCTGCCTGAGAGTTGCAGAGAACTGGAGAGTGCTGGGTGCTAGCGTAGAGGGGAGGGGTGGGGGGTGGGAGGTGGGGGTGTAGCCCCTGAAGATGTGGAAGGGGTAGAAGGATACAGAAAGGGATGGCTGCAACTGCAAAACATAACCTACCTAATAGCTTTACTAAGAGTTGGCCCTACACAAGGAAGAAGCCCAGCCTGGAAACATCCTAGGGCCCTCAGTCTACCCACTCTTTCAGAAAATCTACCTCTGGCTACTGCTCTGACTATAGAGTTTAGACCAAGCGCTCAGTCCTTAGAAGACAGTCCCCAAGTCCTTAAAGCAGTGGAACAACCCATTGGGCTATTTTCCTTGTCAGTCTCCATGATAACTTCCTCAAGAAAGTTCCCTCTTGATCTTCAGTGATTACCATTACTTCCTCCCAACACTACCTCACAAGCAACAAACTCCTTCTTTACTCTTCTCCTAAGAAATTTTATAAATTCTACCTCTCTCTGGCTCAGCCAATCAAACAGGCCAAGTATTCTCTTCTCCCCTAGAGTACAGCCAAGCAAAATAGCTCTCCACCCCTCATTACTGCATACCCACCCACTAACCCTGACCTTCACATTCAGGGGGTCCACAGAGTAGGGATGGGCACAAAGATAAATGTTCCAGTTGTCTAACTCCTGTTATAAAGATGGCTTGGAGAGGGATTGTTATTCCATCTTGGTGCTGGAATACATAAACATGTATAAATAAATATTGAACAATTTCTCAATGAAGCTGACAACCAGTATTGGGTGGAGAATGTCAGTTCAGCAAGGAAGCACCCTGCTTAGTAAGAGATCAGGAAGGGTGGAGCCAATAATGACTAGAACCAATTCAGCTTCTTTTTTTATATTTGAATATTTATATTTATATTTATTTAAGCCTATATTTATATATGAAGATGTAAATCTACATTTTAATTTCTCTTTTCTTCTCATCTTATTAGCAGGAGCTGTGATTAGAATTTAAGAAGATTACTAATTATTTTCTTTTTATTTTTCCTTTGTATTAATAATACTTTGTAAATAATGGAGAACTTTTTTTTTTATATATTATACATATATATTTATTTGAATTTTTTTGTGTGATTTTGGTGAAAGTTTACAGAGCAAATTCATTTCCCATACAGCAGTTCATATACACTTTGTCTCATGACATTGACTTCAATCTCCCATAATGCAATAGCTCTTTTCCTACTTCTTCCCCATAGTTACCTCTTCCTTGTGTCCTTCCCTCCCATGTACTTCTGCCTACCGAGTGATCTCCCTGTCCGTACACAGCACTTCTGTTCAATGGAGAACTTTTTGAACATCATCTGGAGACTTGAACTCTTAGTTCCAACTCTGTCACTGATTTGAGGACATAACTGTGTCTCAATATCTTCAATTATAAAATAGGATAATATGTCCACGATGTCTGTTCAGAGTATTTAAGGTCAAAGATCAAAACATAAAATACAGAACAAACAGAAGAGAAGATGTTATTATTCTATGATCAATCTCATATTTAACATCAAGCTGGCTCATTTGGATGTAAACCAACGCTCAAGAAACTATCCACTTTAAGGAGGAACTCACTCTAGATTTTGTTATTAATATCTTTCTTGATTGACTTGATAAATTTAACTTACATACCTTAAGGTTTTAGTTAGATCAGACACTTCAAGGCCCTGAACATCAGCCTGCTTTTGAACATTAGTTTACCAGCAAAGGTCTGTAAGTAGAAAAAAAGCACCTGTTTAAGTCTCATCATGGTCTCTGGAGCAGGAAGTTGAGAATTATTAATGTGATACTTGTTTTGTCTAGATGAAGAGATGGACTCTTTAAGAGGTATAGCACATGTCCAAGGCCACTCAGTAACTTGGGGTGAAATTTAGCCTTCTGATTAGTACTTCTCAATCCTTATCCTATGTCTTGTCTAATACAGTGCTTTTTTCAGAGCATGAATAAACATTGAAAATAGTTTATTTAATCCTTCCTACCCAATCTCTAACCTAAATAAACATTTAGTCAGCAGCACTGGTTTAGCCTCATGTTTCCATAAGTAACTGAGGATGGGAGGTTGCCATCCCATTCTCTCTGGGCCAGCGTCAGGAGTAGCCATTGATGAGTGACCAAAATGATAGAGTATTTGACACAGTTGAACTAACTTTTAGGAAAAGGGGGACAACATGGCATTTGTTGCCAAAACCTAATCAAGCCTTCCCCACCCCCCTCAGTTTTAACACCATATTTTTGGAGGAAGTAGTAGAGAACTACTACTATCTCCAAGGGTGTCAGCACACTCACAGGCCACACCTGCTATGATGCTCCCAGAATGGAAAATAGAGCAAGTGTTATCAGCCATCAGGTGGGCCTGAGGCTGAAAGGCTAAGTCACTTGCTCAGCATCCTACAATGAGTCACCTGGAGCTCACATAAGATACATACACAGGGAGATAAATGAAAGAAGAAAAGAATGTTTCTTAAATTAAGTTAAATTAAATAATTTATTTATTTTCTATTTTTTAAAGTCTCTTTTTCTAAAAAAAAATTTTTATTGTGATTTGGGTGAAAGTCTACAGAGCAAATTGACTTTCCATATAGCAGTTCATACACATTTTGTTTCATGACTTTGACTGCAGTTCCCCACAATGTAACAACTCTCTTCCCACTTCCTCCCTATAGTTACCTTTGCCCTGTATCCTTCCCTCCCATCTCCTCCTGCCCCCCCCCCACCACCAGCTGTCTCCCTGTGCACTGTCCTTCTGTTCTCCCACGATTTGATGGCTCCAAGGAGTGTATCTATCTGATATAAATGTTCACCCCATATGCCTGTCTATTGTTTGGCTAGAAGCCACAGGAGTGAGTTCAGTTCTAGACCTTCAGGGTAAGTAGAGGCTATAGTCTCAGGGGTCTCACCAGACTCTAGCAGACCAGAAAACCTGGCCTTTTTATAATTTTGTGTTTTGTTCCATATTGTTCTCCTACTCTATCCAGGATCTCTTGCACTGATCTCTCTCTGAGTGGTTGACAGTGGTAGCTGGGCACCATCTAGTTCTTCTAGTCTCGTGGTCATATAGGCTGAGAATTGCATGGCCTACCAGTGCCTTAGAATCTCTGATGGCATAGTGCCTAAGGTGTTACACTGCTAACCAGAGGGCTGGCGGTTCAAACCCATCAGCCACTCCTCAGAAGGAAGGTTGGGCAATCTATTTCCATAGCGATACTGCCTCAAAAACCCAAGGAAGGATTGCTATGAGTTGGGTCTGACTTGACAGCAGTGTGTTTGGATTTTTTTGGTTACCAGTGCCTTGGACTAATTGTTTCCATTCATCTTTGGTTTTCTCCATTCAAGAAGAAAAGAATGCTTTTACATCCATGTCCAGCCCCTGGTGGCCATCTCCCTGGGCCTGTGTGCAAGTGAAATAAAGGGAGGGTGTTGACAGGCCTGGGATAACTGCAACTGGATGGGTGGATTTGGGTTCACTGAGAAAGGAGCTCCTAGAGCCAGGTGAGAAAGGAGAAGAGGTGGTTTGGCAAGGGGAAAAAGGTGGGCAGGTTTGTTGGAGGAAATTTGAGTCTTTTCAAGTGGTATCTGTGGAGGATGACTTTCCTCCCACCAATTCACTCTTTCCTATCCCCTCTCAGCTTGACAATGTTGTGATGGAAACCAAAACAGAAAACCATTGTTGATGAGTCTATTTCAACTCATAGTGACCCTATAGGACAGAGTATAATTGCCTCACATGGTTTCCAAGGTTGTAAATCTTTACTGAAGTAGACTGTCACATCTTTCTCCCATGGAGGAGGTGGTGGGTTCAAACTACTTACTTTCCCATTAGCGGCAGGGCCCTTAACCACTGCACCAGTGGGGCTCCTTTTGTGATGGAAACATCAAAAATTCCTAGTAGGAATGACCATGGTCCTGGAGAAGAAGAGGATCCCCTTCATTGCAGCGGGTTGAATATCTCTGCAAATGTTATAGGAAGGATGAACAGCCCTCCCAGGCAAGCTGGACAACGCCTTGAGGATATTTACAGACAGCAGGCCAGTG